GAATGCCGACCAGACGACCCTGCGACCACGCGCGACCTTCCCGTCCTCCCTACTGCCCCATGGCCTCCTTCCCAGGCCCGGCCCCGGGACCGCGATGCCCGCCCCTTCAGCCCAGCTGGGACACAGCGGCACGCCCAACGCTCCTCATTTCAGAGTCAACAGCAACGCCACTCGACGACCAGCCACTCAAACACATGCTGACCTGACCTGGGCGACCAGGGGCATGATGTCACCACGCTATCGGCAGACGTGCCCCGAGCATGCACCGTGGACACAGCGAGGTCCTGCGGGTCCAGGAGGGAAAAGCAGCGGGCGTCTCCCCTCGGGACCCCCACGAGGGCAGTGCTCGGGGCAGCACTGACTCAGCCACTTTACGTCCCTGGGCTCCAGTTCATTCTCACAGCAAACGGAGGCCAGTTTAGAGTTGCTTTCCGGTTCTGAAAAGACGTGATTTAGCGGATCGTACACTTAAGGTCTCCCCAGGAAAAATACAAGATAATGGTTTCGGGACAACCTGACTTTGGACCAGCTGTTCTGTGGTGGCAGGAGAATGCTCGGGGCAGGTCACCAACGAACAGGATCACCTAGCGCCGTTATTATTCCTTAGGTACAATCTGTGCACGGCAAGACGGTTCGGGACAAAAAGATCAGAAATCAAAACCCTTTGGCGTGAGAAAGACGCGAACGGGAAAGCAGAGATTTCGCTTGTGGCAGCGGACGTGGAAAAGGGGTCGGAGGCAAAGGCGAGGCCGCTAGACGGTCCTAACCCAGGACTGGCGTCCTCGTGAAAGGGACGCAGACGGAGACACACAGGAAGGACACCGTGTGGCAGCGGCAGAGATGGGAGAGACAGGGGCCATCGGGGCTGGCCTCCCACTGCAGAGGCCAAGAGAAAGGCACGGGACACACGCCCTGGAACCTCCGCAGAGAGCGCGGCCCCGCGGACACCTTGGCTTCCGACTGCGGACCCTCGAGAACCACGAGAGAACAAATTTCTGCTGTAAGCCACCTGCTTCGTGGTGACTCGCCGGGGCAGCCCTGGGAAACTAACAGAGCCCAGAGCATTTGCTCCCTGGACCGCAGCCGCCAAGGTATGCTCTGGGTCCCCAAACAGCAGCATCCCCCTGGGAGCGGCTGTGTCCTGACCAGGGCAGTGGCTCAACAGTCGCTTACTGGAGGCCGCGACCCTATATCATAGAGAGGACACACTGATCCCCTGGTGGCTGGTACTGGGAAACTTCGCCATAAGCTCAAACTCCCTGCCAATCATCAAATACCATGTGATAAATTCCTTCCGACTTAAAAAAGCGAATGATTAGAAAAGTGATGGGAGAAATGCCTATTAAATAGCACTCTCGAGCAAGAGCTGACATTTTAAACACTCCAGGTCATAAAATGACACAGTAAAGTTGAAAACGATATGTCATTCAACAATCAAAATTTTTTCCAGGTGTTGAAAATTTATTAAAACTTTATTTTGAGATGTTAAATGTTTTTTAAAATACCAGCTCGCTGAATACTCCACCTGTCGTCATACCATTCTAAACGCCAAAGACTGTGAAGAAGACAAAAGAAGTGGATTTGTACGTTGCCATAAGAAACTGGGAATAAAACATGAATTTCTTTCCATAAAACTAATCCATCAGTAAACATTCTCCTCGCAGAATATCTGCCAATTTACCCGTGTGTGTTGAATAACAAACCATGACTAAAACAACTGTTGCAAAGAAGGACATACTATTTGCCTAAAGTAAATCAGCTATTGTCCAGTTCTGGGTGTCTTTATGACAGTATGCAAACTTATCACATTATTTGACTATTGGGTCTAGCAGTTAGATATACAAGGCAAGGGAAGATCTGCAATTGCTTATATTTTAGAAGTAGAACAATTTTTCATAAACATAATTTTTCCCAGTCATGATAGAATAGATATGGGGCTTTGTTATGGTTACGATCACAACAAAAATTATAGCAATTTGCCAGGTAAATATGAGAATACGAGGAAAATATTTTAACAATAATAATTTAAAAAAAAAATTATAAGCATATCGGAAAAAAAAATATTTTTAATTTTGCCATTTTGGAATCCGGAGTTAAGAATCTTGTTGCAACTCCCACGTTTTGTTGTCCAGATTCTAACACTGGGCCCCCAGCTTCTGTTTTGTGTTTTTTTTTTTCCTACCTGAGGAACTAAATAAGCATTAATGCTTCTCCCTTCCCCCAGCCCCAAACCATAAAAACACTAACTCAAACCGGGAAGCATTACATTATGAACATGGAAATCACAGAGTAAGTGGAAGGGCCGTAGGGCTAGGTCAGAGCTTGCTCAAAGCTGGGCCTGTCATCAGAAGAAATGGGACGGATGCATCCCCACAGCTGAAGGTCCTCAGAATAGAGACGCAGGCGAACTGGAACTCACGCTGACGGCCCACCACCACTTTCTCAGAGATGTTTTCAGTGACTCCTCAGAGCCATCTTCACCTGAGCTGAGAAAGCGACAGTCTGAACGGATCGAGTAGCTCAACCAGGATCAGCAAGCAGGAGAGGAACCTGGGGCTTCGACTTTCCACGTCGTGGTAAACGCAGGACACGGTCACACTGGGGTCGCAGGATCGGGGACAGCAGAAGGTGGTCGTTTGCCCTGACTACAGCCCTCCCCACAGACACAGGCCCTCTACGGTATTTTATTAAGTTGGAGAAAAGTCTTTTATAAAAGACTAAGTCGGTTTTTCTTAATAAAAAATAAAAAATAAAAAAAAAGAACCCGCCCACCATCTTGCTCATGCCTGTAGGCCCTTCCCAGAGCAGTAAAGGCAGTCACCCCAGTAGCTGACAGTGGAGAAGATTGAGAAACACAGCAAAGCACACACTAAAGTCCGACGTTAGATTCCATCCCGGTGTAAGAGAAGGCACCTGGAGAAAGATGCACATTCGCTCAACACCACGCGATGTGTGCGGGGTCCACCAGAGGCAAAGAATGGGGGGAAACCCTCAAAAAGTGGACGAGTCTAAAAGAGGTTCGTATTTGTATGAAGTGTCTGAGATGAAATACAAAGTTTGGGAATAATAACTGGGCGTTATCCTGAGGAAGATCAAGAGATGGTCACAGGGGTCTAAGACAGCGCCGTGGAGAACCCGCATCACCCCAAATATCGGTGGGCTAGAATAGTGTTTAGATCTTCTGTATTATCTTCTAGAGCAGGGTGGGCCTCCATGCTGATTGTGTAAATAAAGTTTTATTGGAACACGACCGCACCCACCTGTTCCGATACTGTCCAAGGCTACAAGGGCAGTAGCTACGCCAGAGACCACGTGGCTCACAAGGCTAGAAGTATTTACTATCTGGCCCTTTAGAGAGAAATGTGCAAATCTGTTCTATACAAAAGCAACCTGGAATGAAAAAGCCGCCCTTAAATAGTAACTTATACTGATTATCAACAGGAGACTAAAGGCAAGATTTACAGAAAGGTCTATTTCCATTAAGTAACAAAAAACATACATATTTCTAAATTTTTATAGACCAATTAAATGAGTTTTGTTCATTTAGACACTGTTCGGATTAACTCTTTATATAGTTATTATAAAATAGCTCACCGTATAAGCTCATTATAAAAATATGTATAGTATGACGGAGCTGTTATTTTAACAAAGGTTAAAAAAAGAAGTTATCCAGCTCAAAAAAAAAAATTAAGGAATGCTTCATGGCCATCTGTCTTTCTCGTTCTCACTGCTCACTAAAAACCATGAAATACATTCTGTTTTCTTCAGAAGAACAAAAAATATATTTTGTGAAGATACATAACACATAGATAACCAAACTATTAATTACCGAAAAAGGAGTCAGTAGTTTCGAAGTTTTATAACTCTGAGTGAATGGTTTCTATATCGGTTTTACGTACAAGTTTAAAAATTCTCAACTGCCATTAAATCCTGCCAATGAATATACTTGATTACAGTTATATAATGTTTTTCATCCATATGCCCTATAAAAATGAGGAAGGAATTAAACCGAAATATTCAAAAGTATGAAAAAACATTTCTTAAAACATCTTGCTATATATTTATAGAAATGCTGACAAAGTAATGGCTGAGAAAGTGACCAGTAATCATGTATGTCACTTCCGAAACACCCTCAAGTAATAGACTGTTTGCTACTATGTTTTATATATAATGTACTAAAACACTTACCCAGTTTAACTCTTGAGCAAATATTTGAAGGTACAAATATTTTAATTTTAATGAAACCAGGAATGTGGACAGACCGCTGCTTTGTGCAGCTGCGGTCACACTGCACATTTTTAAAATACCAAAACCTATTTAAGAAAAAAAAAAAGGAAACAAAACCTGAAAACAGTTTGAGGGTTTATTATCTAATTAAGCAACTTCTTTCCCAAAAGTGCACTAAATAATCACTATTCTCTCCTCTCCGGATGCCCTAAATGGTGGCTACATTAGTGATACTATAGAGATACATTTTAAAACGTTAAGATCTGGTTCCTAGGAAGATCGCGTTTGGTTTTAGATACACTGTAAAAATCTCTAATGCCATCTCAGACCACATATTTAAGTAAAAAAAAAAAAAAGAAAGAAACTTACATTCAGTAACAGCACGATAGTTGAGAATACTTAAATGTTTGCAATAAATCAGAGCCCAAAACTGTCGACTGCAACCACCAGAAGGTGAAGAGGAGGAGAGCAGCAGGTTAAATCCTCACGTGCACAAACTACAACTGCACTCTGGTCACTTAAACGACAGCACCGAAGTTTATTATCCGGGTATGTTAATGAAGCCGACCTCGAGCCTCCCCTTCCCCGCTGGTAAGCCGCTATCAAACCAGACGTGCTTCCCCCATTCTTGGAGTTAAGTGCTGTTTTATTGGGCCGGAAGAGAGCCCTCGAGATTGTTCCATTAGGAAAACGTGTAAGTGGGAAAGGGAACGGAGAGGCCACAGGTGTGATCGAAATAAATAAACCTGAATCAGATTACAGAATAATCTGTCTGAGCTCGTTTGTCTTTTTAAACTGATAAAAGGTTTTAAACTGAGTAAGGCTTCCCAAGCTACTGTGAACACGCTTAACGATTTAGATCCTGACATTTCTTGGTTTCTACTTCCAGACAATTTCAGAGTAAAAATTTGAACCCCGATCAGTTACAGGGGCGATATTTAGTCTGCAAACAAGCTACGCTTCTCCGCAACTTTAAAGTTTCAGTGGCGAGTCGAAGGTGCAGCATAACCATGAAACGAGACGTGCACGACGGGCGAGAGGACCCTGGAGCCTCCTCACCCTTACGGTCGCGCATTTGCTTCGCGAGGCCTTCCTCGGCCCCGCGCGCCACCGCCCGCGGACACCGGTCCAGCGGAAATCGCGCTCCCTCCAGCTAGCCCCAACCCGCGGCCGGAAGTACCGCCCCCGAGCCGGAGCGGAGCTTTCCTCGCCGCTCATTGGCTGAGGGGGCCGTCAGTGCCCGGAGGGCGGGGCCCTGGCCATGGAGTGCAATTCCAGGCCCCATCTCACCCGGTCCCCGGGTTCCCCAGCCCGCGAGCAAACAGCCAGGCTCCACGGGGAGGGGAGTGGGGGTCCTCCCCTTTTATTTCGCCGGCCCTCCTTCCGCTGTCCCCATACAGTCTCTGCCCCTTTGACTCCCCAGAGGCACAGTTTTTAAGTTCCACTTCTCCCCCACACCATCAAGCTCCCCGTCCAGGACCAAAGAGGATGCTGCGGTTTTAGGAGTAAAGCCAGCTGCGGACTGGGTCTCCTCGAGGGCAGCAGAGGATTCCTTCCTCGGAAAATGAAACAACTGTGTCCGTTTTACGTGAACCGTCCTGAGGGCACCGGCCTTCACCGAGTGTTCCCGCCAACGGTACTGGGCGTCCATTCTGCACGAGCTGCCACAAAGCATTACGGGGTTAAGTGCATCTCTGCTCAGTGAGTCAGCCTTCTCAGTGTCTGTCCAGCTCTACCACGTACCATAAGCTTTTGCAGTGAAAGTACCATCCACACTTCGGCCAAACCCGCAGCGGCTGGAGCTCCTGTGCAGAGGTGTCGCGCGCACATTCAGTACTTTGTAATGCAACCGGACGAGACACACTGCCGTCGCCTGCGGGGACTGTGCATACTTCCTGAACTCAAATTTCCTTGGAGGAGGAATTAGAAACTGGTTCTAATTGTGAGGGGGTACACAGTGAGTGCCCTACAAAGTAGGGGCATCTGATTTTTTTTTCAACTGCGTCCTTAAGATCACCAGCCTCAAGGGAGGGGGACAATCATTTCTTTTCTGAAACACGTTTCTGACTTCCAGTTCCGTCACCGGAACGGCTCAAGGATGGGCGCACATCTTAGTGTAAAATCAGGATATTTTTGGTATTTACTCGTAACAAGGGCTGCAGCCATGAGAGAACACGACTCGTCACGTCCCAAGGCCGACGGGGCACTGCAAACAGGCTCCCGGAGCCCTGCGTCCCTCGCGCAGCACCCTCCGCGGTGTGTCCGCTTCCTGTCACTGTCCTGGGGCAGCGTGGCCCTCCCACTGGTCTCCTTTCCCCATCGGGCTCTCCTTGGTCACTGGCTTGGGCTTCACTTGTCAATTTCTTCACCACCGCCGTCACCGCCGGTGTTCGCCATTGCCTTGCAATGTGCAATCCCTCCCCCTGGCATTCCCTTGCCCTAGCGGTCCTACTAAAGCCCGTTCTGCAACGGGCTGGTCATCCTCCCCTCACTCCTCCAGCGGCTCAGCCCCCGGCTCTGCCCGGAGAAACCTGGCGGTCGGAGTCTGGCGGCGGCCGAGCCCTGACAGCTGGGCCTCACCAATCGGCGAGGGGTAAATAACTCGCGCCGCCAATCAGCGCGCGCGGGGCGGCGGGAGGCGGGACTTCGCCCAAGTTCCTCGGTCCCGAAACCAAAGACCTGTTGCCGCCGCCGCCGTCGCCGCCGAGTTTCTTGGTT